CAGTACTTAAAGGGGGCCTATAGGAAGGATGGGGAGAATCTTTTTAGCAAGGCCTGTTGTGACAGGACAAGGAGTAATGGATTTGAACTAAAGAATAGATTTAGACTGGATATAAGGAAGAAATTTTATACAGTGAGGGTGGTCAGGCACTGGAACAGGTTGCCCAGAGAGGCAGTGGAGGCCCCACCCCTAGAAACATTCAAGGTCAGGTTGGACGGGGCTCTGGGCAACCTGATCTGGTTAAAGCCGTCCCTGCTCACTGCAGGGGGTTGGGCTAGATGACCTCTAAAGGTCCCTTCCAACCCAAAGTATTCTACAATTCTATGATTGTCCCACGCTGCACTAGACTGGTGCGGCCCCACCTCGAGTACTGTGTGCAGGTTTGGGCGTCTCAATATAAGAAGGAGATCAAACTATTAGAGTGTGTCCAGAGGAGGATGACCAAGATGGTGAAAGGTCTGGAGGGCAAGACTTAAGAGGAGCGGCTGAGGTTTGTTCAGCTTGGAGAAGAGAAGGCTGAGAGGCGACCTCATCGCAGTCTACAACTTCATCAATGGGGGCAGCGGAGATGGAGGTGCCGATCTCCTCTCTCTGGTGACCAGCGATAGGACACGAGAAAATGGCATGAAGCCGCATCAGGGGAAGTTCAGACTGGACATTAGGAAAAGGTTCTTCACTGAGAGGGTGGTCAGTCACTGGAACAGGCTCCCCAGGAAGTGGTCACGGAACCAAGCCTGTCAGAGTTCAAGGAACGTCTGGATGATGCTTTCAGTCATATGGTTTAGTTTTAGGTAGTCCTGCGAGGAGTAGGGAGTTGGACTCGATGATCCTTATGGGTCGCTTCCAACTTGAGATATTCTATGATTCTATGATGGGAGTGATTTGACTAAACTATGACTACTTTATCAGCAGTCAGACAGGAATGCTGTGTACTGCTTATCCTACCATCTCTCTTTAAGAGGAATGACTTGAGGGATTTTGAGAGTTCTCTTTTCTTCAAGAAAAAAAAAACAACAAAAAAGAAAATAACCTGTTCCTCCTCCTGCTCTCTTTATTCCTCCTTCCCTCATAGCATTAAAGGGCATTCTATGCAATTTTTCAATTATGTCCTTCATTTTTCTTCACTGATTCTGTATCTACAGATTTACAAATCACAATCACTAATGATTATGACATGTCAAAGTTAAATTAAGACAAACAGAATAAAGAATATAATGCTTTATTCAACCAGAAATACAAATACTGATATGAAACTGGACATATTTTGAATTAATCAGGCTTAAAGCCATGCAGAAAATAAATACGAACTGAATAGCTGCAATGCATAGTTGTGTTGAATTTAGCTGTTCAAGACTAATGAACAGTCTTAAGAATCCTAACTTCAGGGAGATGGAAAATTTTTTGATTATTCAAAAGCAAATGAGAGCTACAACAAAAAGAACTGTACATGTAATAAACTCTTACCCCCTTTGGCTCAGGCACAATCAAATGAGTACATTTATTATTGAGGCTCAGCTGGCAATTCCCTCCATAAAAAGTAATCAAAGCCCACAGCGTACTTCGGTCTTCAGATGAAACCTAAAAGGAAGGTAAATAAGTCTTTTAGTTCTACGCAACCAGCTGCCTTCTGCTTGAAGAATTTTAGTACAACCCATGACATACCATTTACAAGTCTGGCTAATGTATTACTTACCACTTTTAAATACCAAATTAGCATGAAAGTTACGGAGAAAAAAAGGTGACAAAGAGATGCAACAAGAAAAGACATTAAACAATCATTTTTAACCTGCACAGAGAAAAAGAACACATTCTTCACTCCTGTAAAACTCAACACTAATACATCACCTTCCACAAGAGAAAAAAGTTAGCAATCAAGAAAACAGGAATTATTTATCTTAGACAATCTATTTAAATTCATTAAACAGAATTTTAACAAGCAGACCAAATTAATAGCCTGTGTAAACACATGAAGTGTTTATTTCTAATAGTTTATGTCACAGCAATATCCCCCTCCCCTGCCAAGAAAGCCGCATGCATTTAAGCCATTACCATTCAGAGTTAGTGACAGGAACTTTTTGTTAAAAAGTCTAAAGCACATATATGCATATATTCCATTAGCACCCAGGGCCTTATCCTGTCCATCTACACACACACACTGGTCACCAACAGGCGACTCACAGATCTATAGAGCTGGCTGTGAACACAAGCCACTGAAGCACCACCTTTCCACTTATGTTACTCACTGGCACCCTTGTTAAGGTTTCAGTGCATAAGTAGGTAAAACTTGTTGACTGAATATTGTGTTAATGCAGAAATAGAAGAACAGGAGCAAAGACTTTATAGTCTAGTGTACTCTGCATTTTAGAATCACCATACGGCTGAATACAAGATAAATTACTGATTGAATGTTCACAGTTTGAAATGTTCATGCTCTCATTTTCAGTGAAAAACTGTTTTAGGTGATAATTCACCTAACATACAGAAAAAAGTCATAGTACAGCAGAAAAACTGGTATCTCTCCTCAAAAAACAAAACATCACACACATATTGTACGTTGGAGCAGGCTGAAATATGGTTCACCTCTTACCTGAGAGAGACAGGCAGTGACTCCAAAAAAGATCTGACACGATTCTGGAGAAAAGCCATTTACACTGGAAAGCAGGTGTCAAGGATGCAAAATAATTTAAATGAGAGCTTCCTGAGGGACATTAGAAGGAAATTAAATAGCGTGCATAGTACTTCTCAGATATTACCAAGTATTTGACCGCTCAAAAACTTTTGTCTTTAAAAGCATGTTGCCTGTTCCCAATTCAAGTTGCATGCGTCTGGAAAAAACTGAGGTGCAAACTGGATCAGGACACCTCTAATATTACGACTGATTTTGGTAATGTTACAAACTTGCCTCTTCCCAGAACATCTCCCTCAGCCCATCTCAGGACGCTAAACACAGGAAGTTTAGCTCAAGTCACTACTAAGAGCTTCATTACATTATCAAGTGCTTGTCTTCCAGGTTTAAAAATACAGGGGAATCTGAAGAAGAAGAAACTTTTGCTAGTCAACAACAGACAATACAGAAGGAATATGATGCACAAGAAATTTGATAAAACAAGTCAGATCAAGAAAAGCATGTTTTTCTAAAATAAAAGCTAATAGCAGACACCTGTAGAAAGTCACAGTACCTTTTTTGCATGCTTAATAAAAAAGATGGCAATCTGGTGGATGACTTCATTTAAAACTAGTAAGAAATAAAAGCATAGTCTTAAAAAAAGAAAAAAGGTTAGAAAGTAATACAGAAGCCAGAGGTTTCAAAAATGGCAAAGTTTGGTAACCAAATGGTAGAATTTTTGGTTGAAGACACATTTTTGGAACATAACCTGCCCTTCGCAATTTCACAAAGACTAGAAAAGTAGAAACAGTTACATACAGCATAGTTATTACATCCACAAAAGGCACCGAACAACAAATGTAACAAGGGACAAGCTCATATATCAAGAAAAACAACAAACCAAACAAAGTATTAGATTATCTGCAAACAGCAGTAGGCAAGTCAGTATAAGCAAGTATCAAATCTTCATAGCTGATTTTTTCCTACTGAGGTCTAACACTGCATAGGAAGTTGGCTAGGCAACAGATATGGGGCAGGGCGGGGTGGGGGGAATGTAGGAGCTGCTGTGAAACACAAACTGAGGAAACATCACACTGGGATGTAAAAACAGAAAAGAGCCTGAAACTAACATGAAGTTTTCCACCATGCTTTCAAAATTCAACAAGATCTCTGGTAGCAATGCATATTTGTTTTCAGGTGCATAAAAGAGATAAATAAATGAAACAGTATGAGAAAAAGAGCAGTGAGAATTTTTACAGACCTAGTAAATACAGCTTACAAGAGGTAAGTGAAAGACCAGAATTGATGTGTTTAAGAAGCTAAGATGACACATCTTCAAACCCTTTAATGAACCAAATGAAAAGAGAAGTAATTTGTTCTCCCTGTTCAGAGTGGCTCAGATAAATCAAAACAGGGTTAGACTGCAGCACGGTAATGGGGTTAAACCAGCAACACAACCGTGAGGCGCTGTAAGCTGACTGGGGAAGCCCTGAAATCTCCACTACAGGAGGGGCTCTGTGGAACAGGAGAGAACAGTCCGACAGAAGTGACCTGGGAATGACAGACAGACCAGCTGACTTCTGTCCCCTCCCTCCCTTTTCTACGCTTTCATATGACTTTGTGTTTAAGATACATGCACACCTTGCTGGAAAAAAGGACTACAGGACCAGATGAGCACTGTGTTACAAGTACACACTGAGATTTTTGTAATGAAACAAAATTATTTTCCCCGTGCTGTTGACAGATGCATGGACAATACTTAAATTTTGAGACCCAGAAGAGAAAACACACAGCAAGCCGACAAGAAAGCCCAGAGCACTTTAAAACTTAAGAACAGATTACCGCCATTGTCCACAGTACTCCAAGAAGTTCAAGTCTGATGAATGTCCTAAATCTCACTGTGTTGCTCAGTATCTCATCTAAGGTAGACAGATTCAGTACCAGATCTTTCAAAAGTGTACAGTTGTCTACTCCCTGCCTTACCATCTGCTCTTAGCACATAAAGCGGCAACAGCTCGGTATTTAACTTTTAAGAGGTCCATCAGTTTGACTGCAGCTTGCACTCTCTAAAGAATAGGAGTGAAACAGACCCTCTTAAAACAGTTACAAGCAGCACAACAATAAGGTTCCAAGTGGGTCTGGAAAACAAAAAAGGGCGAATGCAACAAAACTCACCTTTTTTCTCCCCCCTCCCAGCAACAAAATTCAAATGCTCTGACCCTCTTTCATCTGTACAAAACCATGGAAAATAATCCTTCCTCATTCTTACTTTTGCAGTTATCAAGATAATTAAGAAAGATATCACCAGCCCTGTTTATGGCATTATAACTGAGGTTTTCATACGAAAACCTGTATTTCCTTCTTCAGGAAAGCTGCTTCCAGATTCATTTTTCTGTTACTTCCCTTCAGCTGCAGCTTAGTTAGATTTTGCTAACATCAGTTAGCAGCGAACAGGAGAACACTCTGCCTTCTGAAGTTCCCCCTGATGAAAACAACTTTCACAGTGGAATGTTAAAATGTATTTATAAGAAACAGGCAAAATTATTACACTTCTACATTGCATTAAATCGTTCTGGATTAAACTTCACCTTTAACAACTGACAGGCAAATGCCCATCAAATAAGTACCAGAATTGGTAAGCAAACACAAAATCTTTAAGTCTCTTATTAGATCCATATATCTAACTGACAAAAGATGTTTCTATGACTTGCTTCTTCAGTAAATTCAATGACAACTTCGAGTATTACATCTCCAAACTAAAACATAAACAAAAGTTGAAAATGCAGAATCTCAAACCTCTGCCTAAACAGGGTCCAAAAACAATCAACTGGAAAAAGTCAGCTATTAACTAGATTTTTCTCATTATGGTAGTACCTAAAACCCTAATGAAAGGCCAGATGCCACTGCACTAGCAGTCGTAAAGAGACTGAAACAGAACAAAGTTAAGACTTAACAACCCATTTTAATGAGCACTTAAGGCTCAAAATAAAATCTAAAACCACCAGGTTCTAAGGACATGAAGTGCTAGAAAGAATAAAGTCAAAGGTCCAAGGACACATTTACTGCTGACAGGTGTACAAAACTTCCTTCTTCCATGCAACCCAAGAACATGATACTACTGAGACCTGGTCTTTTCATTTGGCCATTCCTACATACCCACAATAAAGACTTCCTGAGCAATAGCCATTCAGGGCTACATTCACAGATCTATTGCTACAATTTAGTTATGGACTGCATCACTCAATGGTTTTATCTGTTGATTTCTCTTCTGGGTATGTACTACCATCAGCTCTTAGAGCACCCTTTTAAAAACCCCTTGTTTCAGACAGAAGACCAATTTTCTAATAGCGCAACTTCTCCACGGGAAAGAACAGTGCTAATAATGCAATCAATGCTAGATTACTTAAACCTGAAAATGTAGCTAATTCCAAGCTATTTTATTATTTTTTCAACCAGTCTTCAGGAAGAGGGAGAAGGCTTACAGACATGCGGCATAAGCAACCATCCACTCCCATCCTGATGACAAAAGGATTATAAACACATTCATTACTGCCAGACGCAAAACACAAAAAACACCAGCCTAGATCACATCATAATAATCAAATTCTTTTTAATACAGGAGTAGCTCTGCTAATTTGGGTTTTGCCATGTAATGTTTGGTGCATTTTTTCCATTTGGAAGCCAAGCCATTTACAGAAAACTTTCTTCTGCTTAGGTCAGAAGACTATCCACGACTATGGCAAGTGTTTCACACTAACTGCTGAATCCTATCCAACATACTGATTATTGTGATCAGAACAGCTGCAAAGACCTCACTACATCATTTTATCTGATAAATTCAATGTTTTCCCTTCCTACAGTTCACTCCCCGAGCTGAATTCTCTTGGGGATGTAGAGAATCTACAGCCTATTTCCAAAACAGTCGAGACACAGCAAGATGCGAAGGCACATACCTTGAAATACTGGGTATAAAACATGAATTCTGAATCTCTGAAGCACAGTGTAAGACCTGAATTTCTAATACAAACGCCTGGATTCTTGTGTCTACCACCTCGTTTTCCTTTATAGACATGACCACCTGCTAACCTCATTCCAAAATGAGATCTCAATGCCTGACAGCATACCTCCCTAGTCCTGGCATTGTTTGTTGCAATCATCCACTCGTATCTGTAATACATCGAAATGTATTGTTCTGCTGCAGCTTTTCCATATATAAATTCTTCATTGTGAATGGTCTGAGAAAAAGATGTATGAATTTTTTTCTATAATAATAGCTATTGTCACCATTCCTATGATCCAAAGAAAAAACTGAGGGGAACATAAATAAAGATGAAACATCAATAACTGACAAGAAGAGGAAGGAATATGCCATCCATATGCAAGAATATATGCTCCAAATAAGAAACATAAATCTAGCCAAACATGAACAACAAGGATCTACCAAAGGCAAGGACAGACTATCCCAAAAACAGTGATACTAACACTATCTTTTAATAAAGTGTTATTTATCATACAGTGTTGATAAGAGTTATTGCATATTTATCACTTAATTCTTCTTCTAGAAAAGGCAGAATGGGCCATTCTACTCTGAACCAACATTTGCCCACTTACTGCACTCCAGCGTTTTTCCTGGATCCTCACAGTTAATTATCAACTTCCAGCTAAAATGTTTTGAGTCCATCTCATGACAGGTTTCTTTCAAGTGCCTATTAAGCATCCAAAATAGCCAGAGGGGCAGGAAAACTGAAGTGAGACAAAGAAGCTCCACACACATGGCAATCTTGGCAAGCAAAACACATCCTATAATTTTAAAATTTAAGCTGTACATACTTGAAGCATTCTTGAATCCCTCGATGGCATCTATTTTAACATGTTTCCTATAGAACTGATTCAAATTTGAACTTAAAGGATACGGCAGAAGAGCTCCACAGCGAACAGACAAGATCACCCAGGAAGGCTGAAAAACAAAAGCCACAAGACAAGAGGTTTGCCTTGGTCTGCATGTGTGAAATGTGAATTACCTTCCAAGTTCATACTATAGCTAGTTTCAATATAGACTTTCAAAGCTTGGAGGTGTAAGTGTTTCACAGACATTGTACGTAGGCCTTCACAAAAAAAAACCTGTTCTGATTTATTTGTCAGAGTTAATATAAAGACTGCTCAAAGGTTGTACAGCAATATGGAAGCAAAACCCCTTTCTTTTGTCTTTCTATTGTGCCAGGAAAACCATTTACAGTATTTACTCATCCTCTCAGTTTTTTCAGTTTTCCGTACTCTAAAAAAAAATCCCCTACCTTACACTCATCACCAAGGAGTCAGGAACCATAACCTTGTATAGAAAGAAGCTTCTAAACACACAGCAATGAGGGCTGCAAAGCACACAGGTGATGACCCCTAACTGACAGTACTGGAGGTGGTGGAGAGGAGATGTAGGACACTGGTCCCAGTACAGCATATAGGAAGAAGAGGGAAAGAGAAATGACTTGTCCTCCAAAAACAAACAAACAAATATATTGTGGTAACTATGTATATGGTGTCCCAATCCTTGCTATTCTCTCTCCCCTAGAAAAAGACATAAAAAAATGAACTAAAAACATCTAATTCGTAACTCCTCAATCCTCTGCAAAAAAAATGGGAAACTTTCCTCCTTCAAGTTTTTCTCTTGCTTATTTTCTATGCTTTTTCGCTCAATAACAAACTACCTTTCCCTCTGACTTCCATTCCCTTAATACTTAGTCTAATCTTCTTGATTACAGATCATGCTGTGATGTTTTCAGGTCAAACTAAGTGATGTTACTGAAAGACTTGTTCTTGTTTGGCAATTGAAAAGGTTTAGCTAGTAGCAGTTATAAAGAAAATTAAATTGTTTAAGTAAATGGCATTAGAAAGCAGAAAGCACTATTATGACGCTGATGTCCTTCCTTCACATGAGAATGGCAGCAGTCATCTTGTGTATAAGATTAAAATTACGCCACAGAACACTTCAGAAGAAGGAACTAAAAATTAATCAGGACACCCACTATAACCATAAGGTCTCTAGCTAAGCACCTTGTACTTTTTGGAATTAATTCGTACTTCTACACTGTCATGTGAACTCTCATGACATAAGCTATCAACATTCTCTTCTGCCACCTGCCACCATATGGAAAAAATAACCCAAAATCATGTACCCAAAGGTATTAGCAGTGAAATACTAGTGTTTTTTCTTCTAATCACTCTCATGACTTGCAGAGTGACAAGTTCACATTTTCAAACATGAAGCCAGAATCTTTCTCTGCAAAAATAACCCAATACTGCAAGATAGTAACAAAATACTGGTAATTCCAGTATGAGTAAGGAAAAAAAAAAAATTAAAAAACTAAAATCAAGAGAAAAAAATCTATTTTTCTACAAGATCCTATTATTTAAAATTAGCATGGCACACATATGCAGAATCAACAAAATCATTTTGCACCTTGACAATTGTATGTGTTTTAAAAAAAACCTCAGCAGTCTGCTACTTATTCTCAGTTGAGGTTTTCCATTGCCAGAAGCTTGTAAGAACCTTCTCATCAGAACCATTTCTAGAGTACAGCTAATAGGACACCATCTCACAGATGACTGAAGGAAGAATCTGGAAAAAAACAAAACAGAAAACAAAAAAAAACCCCAAACCACTGATAGATACAGAACAAGAAGACAAAGGAGAGAACGGAATAGTGAAAGAAGTCTATTGGTCAGGATAAAAGTTTGTGTAACAAGAATAAAAGATTTTTAAAGATACATTTCATTTGGTCATCATCCAAACATGAATATTTTCTGTTATAATAATGAAGTATCCACATCAGTACTTTGACAATATCATGGGTGAGTCATTCACCTTTACCACAGGGAGATCAAAAACTTCACGAGATTCTCCGACTTCTGGATTGTCCCCATCTTCTGAAATAATATGTGAAGCCAGTGCATTGTAAGAAACTTCCTTTGCTTTCCCAGCTTTCAGAAGTTGAATAACCTAAACCCAGAAAAGAACAGGGAGAAGTCAGCAATTTTTAGCACCTTTTATTTGAGAAAAACGTTAATGCAAGAACACACTAACACGAGAGGAAGTAATATGACCTTCTCTCTTGGTTGTCCTCCTGTTAAGTGGCTAGCACTCTTTCTGAAGCTGCCAAATGCATTCCATTTAAAACCTGATCGCCAATGGTTTACACCTCTGACATATTTTAATCATACAAGTTGAAGATTCATTTTCCAAAATAATTCAGGCTGGGGCCGAAATCTGGAAAGTGTCAAAAACTTTTCAAAAACATATTTTCCTCAAAACCATCTCAAAATAATTTTCTCTCAGGCAGGGTAAGAAAACCCTTCTCCTCAGCGTTTGTTTTTGTATATGGTAGCTTTGGAAGCATTTGAAAATACTTTAAAAGAAGAGCCTGAAGTTTTAAAAAGGTACCCAACGGTAACCTTAGAAAAGGTAACATCATGACTGTACATGGCAGTCTTTGTAGGAATTCTTCCAGAGTTAGCCAGTTATTTACTTGGATAGAGGAAAGAAACAAAAGACAGATGCCTATGCATTTTCTGTAAATGTTCACTTAACAGCTGAGAAAAGAATTCCACCTTTACCAAATGCATATGGTTCCAGCATTTCTAGATCCAATCAATATACCTCATCCGAGAGCGTATGAGTAAGTCTGAAGAACCCGTCCAGCTGCTCCAAAACAATGCAGCCAGACAGAAGAACCGAGGGGAGAGCATGTCTAATACTCCCTTGGTATGAGAAGGAACTGCAAGCAAAAAAAAGTTGTAACCACTGCCCTGAGAAGGGATAACATTCTAACAAAGAGTTGACGTATTGGAAAAAGATGTGATGGAGGATGAAGAGTGATTTAGAGAAATAAAAAAGAAAAAAAAGCAGGACACATGCCCCCTAAGTTACTACCTTAAGGAGCTGGAATTGAAACATCTCACTCCATCACTCTGTCCTCAGAAAATGCAAAACATCTCACAACTCACAAAGTACATCTTATACCTATTTTTGCAAGGCCCATATAGAAGATGTTGGTTTGAGAGTTCAGCATTCTCTCAGCTCAATTGTAGAGATCTGTGTGATGAATCTAGCCCTGCCCCCAAAAAACATTACTCACTTTTATTTGAATAACAGAGAAGGCAGTGGGCTGTAGAGGGGAGGAAGAGAAAAATGTTCTAAAACAATAAGGTCTAGAGTTCAAATGTTAAAAATGCCCATTAAGATTATTCTTTCCTTTTTCCTTTTATTATTTGTAAATGAATAGAGTTTCACTTCATAATGATTTTGCAGAGCCGAACTGGTATGCTACTCATCCTCCAAAACCCGCTAGGGACAGATGTCCATCCCTCCAAACCTGCTAGGGGCACCCCCTTCATAACAGGACACTCTCCCCACAACAGCGGACAGCAGAGAGCAAGGCACTGTATTCATCAAACAAAATATTAAGTAAGTGGTCCTTAAGCAATTACTACCTACCCTGTACACTAAACAGGACAGAGAAGGCACTGAAAAAGAGACTCTTTCAAAACACGGCGTCAGGCTGTTATAAAGCATTTATGCTAAGCAGAAAAATAAGGATGGAAAAGTTGCCACTCAGTGAGGAGATAATTTTGGCATTTCCTGACTGAAGTACTTGACTTTAAAAGTTCATTAAAAAAAAAACAAACCACCAAACCACCCAACTTTTTTCTGCAGTGGACGAATATGTGATATTATTAAATTACAAAAGAATTACTCTAAAATAAACAAGAAAATTGATCACAACTTGCTGTTCTTGCCACCACACAGTCAGAAACAGGAGAGAATATTTCCATTTTACACACCAATCTCTGAAATCATGGGATACCTTCCTGCAAGAAATCCAGTTAACTGCAAGGTAACACAAGATGCTATAATTCCAATGGGAAAAGCTAAATCAAAATAAAGCACTTCTGAAAGCAGTAGATACTTAAGAACAGCTCCACCACACAAGCTCCTTGCCTCGCACAGCTCTCCCTGAATTACAAGCCCCATTCAGCTGTTTGTTTAAGGGAAGGCTAAAAACAGGAGTGAGCGTAATGAAAACTAGGCACCCAAATCTGACAGATAGCGTGAGAAAGAAGTCACAACTACAGAGCTAGAAGTACGGATTTTGTATAGTGAAATAATGCTGCATTAAAGGGTCTGTGCAGAGTCTGCTTATGCAAAAAGTTACACGTTACAGGTAGCAAGTTTAAATACTATAAACATGATAGGTAATAACTTCATACGATTGTTTAAAGTAGTATGAAAAAGACTTTTCCTAATTTAGCTCATTTCAACTTCAAAACTCCTCTCAGAACACATGACTTCTTTAAGTAGTGCCTGGACTGAAAAGTTGTATTGGCACAATTAAAGAACTTCACCTACACTATTATCAACCATATACCTGTATATAGAAAATAAAATGCTGGAAAGCCCCAATATGTTCATTGTAAAAATCCTGCACTTTAAGTGTTAGCTTAAATCCATTAAATGAAATTTCATTTTTTTGGGCATATAAATTTTATCTTTGTTCTCTCCCGCTAAAATCTCTGTTGGAAGAAACAAGAGGAAAAGTTCAAAACTAAGAAGACAATGAGCATAGAAAAAGAATTAAAATAATAATAAAACAAGAGATAACCAGAAACCAAATATGCTGCTCAAAGTCCTTATGGTGCACTGCATTACTTTTTGTCTCTTTCTGGATGAAATACTGATTTTAACTGGTGTTACCAAAGCATGATGGTTGGGGTTTACATATTTTAGGAAAGCAGGAAAAGCATTTATTTAAAAAAAAAAAAAAAAAGCTGACATCTACTCCTCACCCCCTGCAAGGTGTGAGCAGCCAACTGCACATCCCAGTGGAATGGATTTCAAGTTGAGAGCCAGCCGCGTAATTCTCCTTCATTTGCCAAAGAACACCTAGGCAAAATTCCAGACTTTTGTTTGATGCTGCATGTGTTTTAATAGGTAGTGAGTATGCGGTTATTCACCTGAATGCATTACTTTTTGTTTCTTATTCTTGCATTTGTTTTGATTAGAGTCCTCGCTTGTGCTAGGCCTTTTTTAATATTTATTAAGATAACTGGTTTTCCATGAAATCATTTGGAAATTTAAGCTGATCAAAGTGTGCTCCTCCCCAAAAGATGAAGGAGGAAGCTTCTTTTCAAAATCAAGCTAGCACCTGTTTGTATATGAAGAAGTAAAAAGCACCATAATACATTTGTAGGTTTTTGTATTAGTAATGGAGCAACATTTTGCTATAAGAACTGTTTTTAAAAGCTGTATGTGGAGTTCAATTTAGAACTCCTCCTTTCTGCCTTGGTTCAAAACACAACCAGTAAATACTCCTCTTGTTCGGGCTGTTCCCAGGGCACCGCAGAGGGCACCTGCAGAAGGGAGCACAAAGGCACCCACTAAGAGCTGGCCCCAGGCTCAGCACAACACACGTCCCCGCTCCGACTCGGCTCTGGGACCCAACCCGGCAGGACCCTGCCCTGCCCAGGGCTCACCGGCGCAGGCACCGGCGTGGACAGGAGCGAGCCCCGGCCTCCTGTAACGCTGTGCCGCTCCAGCAAGCCGACTCAGAAACCACAGCACTGGAGGGAACAGCGTTTGAACAGGCCAGCCGGCCGCAGGCGCATCTCAAGATGCACAGGGCTTCTCCATTCGGGCATCGCTCACGATGAGAAAGTGGCCCAATGGCTTCCAGCAGGACCCGATCCCGGCAGCAGCGTCACGCCTGGCCTTACCAACTCTGCCAGAGCCACCTTCCGCGTCCGCCTGCAACCCAGAGGAGCCATCCACAGACAGAGGAGAATTTAGCGTGCCCAATTTAGAGCAAATCAAAGCCTTAAGACGACGACACTAACTGCTAAGAAGAATAAAACTTAACATAAGAAAGAAAACTAGCTTAAGAGAACACTCGTTTACTCACTCTGTGGGAATACCGCTGATTGTCTTGCTATGTTAACACAGAACTAACTACATGCCTTTCGGGACGCTATTTATAAGATAAATGATATACAAGCGTCCTACTGTTTTTTTGCGCTCATCTTCATACACATAATAATATTGCTGCTATAGGGTTTTTTTTAAATACAGGAATTGTTATTCAAGCTCTAACACACTGTCAAAAATTTCATGTCTAAAGACCTTGGGCTTTTTTCCCCTGCTCTTTAACTATATTCCTAGACTGTGTATCTTTTAGCATATAGTCCTCTTCCTACAAGTAAAAACCATCTCAACGGGTCAGTGCCTACCTCTCAAGTTCACTTAAAGGCCTACAAGACTCAGTGAATGCCAGGACATGAGATTAAATTAGGAACCCAATCCCGAACAAAGATTCAACTGCAGCAACTACCAACGCAGCCAAGACTTGAATTTCAGTGTGAAACATGCAGGAATCCGTTCGCACGAAGGTGCTGTCCTAAAGCTAGATATGGTACGCTTCAAAGACTTGTCTAATTGGACACGCCACAGAAACTTTTTTTTTTTAACCACCTTCACCCAACACGACCGGGTGTTATTAACCATAAGGCCAACTTCGTCATCTGGGGTGCTGCCCCAGGCCAGAGCAGGCCAACCTGGTCAGGCAGGGCACTGCCCGAGGCCAGAGGGCCGGACGGCCATTTGCCAGCACCTCCCGCTCCTGGCCTCCTCCGGGTCAGGGCAGGGGAAGCACGGAGAC